GTCATGTGATCAGAGACATGAGTCATGTGATCAGACAGAGTCATGTGATCAGACAGCGTCATGTGATCAGAGACAGCGTCATGTGATCAGAGACAGCGTCTGATCAGAGACAGTCATGTGATCAGAGACAGCGTCATGTGATCAGAGACAGCGTCAGGTGATCAGAGACAGCGTCATGTGTTCAGAGACAGCGTCATGTGATCAGAGACAGAGTCATGTGATCAGAGACAGCGTCATGTGATCAGAGACGAAGTCATGTGATCAGAGACGGAGTCATGTGATCAGAGACGGAGTCATGTGATCAGAGACGGAGTCATGTGATCAGAGACAGAGTCATGTGATCAGAGACAGCGTCATGTGATCAGAGACAGCGTCATGTGATCAGAGACAGCGTCATGTGATCAGAGACAGCGTCATGTGATCAGAGACAGCGTCATGTGATCAGAGACAGAGTCATGTGATCAGAGACAGCGTCATGTGATCAGAGACAGCGTCATGTGATCAGAGACAGCGTCATGTGATCAGAGACAGCGTCATGTGATCAGAGACAGCGTCATGTGATCAGAGACAGTCATGTGATCAGAGACATGAGTCATGTGATCAGAGACAGCGTCATGTGATCAGAGACAGCGTCATGTGATCAGAGACAGCGTCATGTGATCAGAGACAGAGTCATGTGATCAGAGACAGAGTCATGTGATCAGAGACAGAGTCATGTGATCGGAGACAGAGTCATGTGATCGGAGACAGAGTCATGTGATGATAGACAGAGTCATGTGATGATAGACAGAGTCATGTGGTCAGAGACAGAGTCATGTGGTCAGAGACAGAGTCATGTGATCAGAGACAGAGTCATGTGATCAGAGACAGAGTCATGCAATCAGAGACGGCGTCATGTGATCAGAGACAGAGTCATGTGATCAGAGACAGAGTCATGTGATCAGAGACAGAGTCATGTGATCAGAGACAGAGTCACGTGATCAGAGACAGAGTCATGCGATCAGAGACAGAGTCATGCGATCAGAGACAGAGTCATGCGGTCAGAGACAGAGTCATGTGATCAGAGACAGAGTCATGTGATCAGAGACAGAGCCATGTGATCAGAGACAGAGTCATGTGATCAGACACAGAGTCATGTGATCAGAGACAGAGTCATGTGATCAGAGACAGAGTCATGTGGTCAGAGACAGAGTCATGTGGTCAGAGACAGAGTCATGTGATCAGAGACAGAGTCATGTGATCAGAGA